TGGTTATCCCCCTGGGAGGCCCAGACCCCAGCACATCCCTGGTTCACGCAGCAGTGAGAACCCTCTGGGGCTTTGTGGCCCCTGAGACTGGGGAGAGGAGGCCACATGAGACACAGAACCTGTGGCCATGGCAGGAAGTGGATGCAAGGGAGCCTGGAAGGAAGACTTCCTGGGGGAGGACGTGAGCATTCCCAAGGCTGCTCTGGGCTCACCCTCCAGTCCTGCGGCTGGGGGAGGAAGGCCTGCCCCTCCCTGAGAAGAAAGGGGGCTCCTTTCCCTTCCAGACAACCCCACCCACAAGCGGGGGGAGGAAGTGAGGCTCCCACTGGCTGAGGGCAGGGGCCATATATGCAGACAGAGCAGGGCGGGAGAACCCCTGGAACCTGGAATGCCAGGAGGACACTTGGTGAGCTAGTTGTTTATGTATGAAAAGCTGGCAGTGTGAGCTCTGTTGGAATCCAGGGGCCTCTTCTACTGTCCCCCCCGCCCCCCCCACCCCGACCGTGCACATGCTCAATCCATTCTTCATTCAGCTCTGGGCCTCTAAGGGGGCTTCTGGTCACATTGAGTGAAATGCAAGCAGGGCCTTATGTGATGGGTCCCCAACCTCTTACTCTCTCCCTCCCACTCTCCTGTGCCCCCTGCCACACTCTCCTTCTTGCTGGTTCAGACACACCAAGCTCTTTCCAACCTTAGGGCCTTTGCACTGCACTCCCTCTGCTGAAACTCACCAACCCTCCCAATGGCCGGCTTTCTCCTTGCTCTCAGCTCCAACGTTACCTCCTCAAAGCAGCCTTCCTGAGTAGCCGTGCCCCCTCCTCCCCCCACCCCCCGGGCTACTCTCTCACTTGACTCTCAGGTTGTCTTGTTTGCTGTCCGGCCGCTCTCCTCTCCGGCAGAGTGAAAACGGGAGTCTTGTCCATCTCGTTCACCACTATGGCCTTGGTGCCTAGGGTAGTGCCTGGCACCGAGTAGCTTAACAAACACTGAAGGACTGACCCAGGGAGGGGCTATTACTGTTGCCGTTTGGCCACGATCAGCCGGCTGAGAAGTGGCAGGGCCAGATTCACACCCAGGCGCAGGCTTTAACCACCCACTTCCCATTCCCCTGCTGCCATAGGCCTGCTTTATCCATAACAGTGATGAGAATTACAGCCAACACGAAATCACCCTGAACAAGTGCCGGCAGTGTTCCTGGCCCTTGGCTGTCATGCCTGGGGAGCTTCACCTTCAAACTCCCGGGGGCTCGGCAAGATGAGCACTGAGATGGCCTTTCAGCTTCAGGAGGGTCCGAGCATAGAGGATAGGGGTTCGCCTGCTCAGGCTGCTGCTAATAATGTGTGCAGGCTGTTAACACCACCCCACCTCACACACACACACGCTCCTGAGGCACCTGGAAATGGGGAGCTGTGACCAGAACAAGGGGCCGGGGAAGAAAGAGCAATGGCAGGAGGCAGGGAGCAGAGAGCCCTCGGCCATCAGGGTCAGCAGCTCCCACTTGCGGGATCTCCTTGAGGATCCCCCTCTGGTGGGGAAGATGGCCTTCACACAGGAAGTGCTCAGGTGATTAATGTCAGCAGCAAATATTATTCATCACCCAAACAAGGCACTGTTTTAAATGCTTTGCATTGATTATCTTCACGTAACAGCCCTGTAGCACTCAACTAGCTCCGCTTTTTCCAGAAAATAACTGAGGACAGAAAGGTTAAGGGCCTAATAAGTGCAGGTCACACGGAGTAGGAAGGAGTAAGATGCAAACCCAGGCGCTGTGGCTGGAGAGTGCCCGTAGTCACTGCAGGAGCACGTGGGCTTTCCCTGTGGTCCCTCGGCTCTGGCCAGCGGGGCCCAGCCAGGCCGAGATGCGGGGTACTGCCGGGACTAGGGCCTGTTCCCTCCCCTCCCTGGAGCAGAGGCTGGCTCTGTGGTGCCGTCACTGCTGCCCTGGGAGAGAGCCCTGCCCCATCACCTGAACCCTGCTTGTCCCTTCTCCCCTTCAACCTCAAGGCCGTCCTAGCTGGAAGCCCTCTGGACAACACGGTAGACCTGTCGGGCATCCCACTGTCCTCGCGTGACCTGGAGCGGGTGAGCAGCTACCTGCAGCGCTGTGGGGAGCAGGTGGACAGTGTGGAGCTGGGCTTCACGGGCCTCACAGATGACATGGTCCTCCAGCTGTTGCCGGCACTCAGCACGCTGCCCCGCCTCACCACGCTGGCCCTCAACGGCAACCGGCTGACCCGAGCGCTGCTGCGTGACCTCACCGACACCCTTAAGGACCCCAGCAAGTTTCCCAATGTCACGTGGATTGATCTGGGCAACAACGTGGACATCTTCTCCTTGCCCCAGCCCTTCCTGCTCAGCCTGCGCAAGCGCTCCCCGAAGCAGGGCCACCTCCCCACCATCTTGGAGCTGGGCGAGAGCGCAGGCTGTGTAGAGGAGGCTTGGGATGGAACAGTGGGACGTGACACGGAAGTGGGGGCCTCACCAGGTAGTCCTTGTGGGGTATGATGGCTGAGGCCGAGTCACAACTACCCGAGCAGCCCCCCATGGGAAGCCAGATCACAGAATCTGGGAAAAGTTAGCACTTCTCACGGGTCCATCGTACCCCTCATCCATCTCCATTATCTTTGTTTGGCTCCTGAGAGGTCATCTTTGGTGCTCAAGGCAGGTTAGCATCTCAGTATCCTATCTCCTGAGTGGCCCTCGGGGTAGGGAGACTGGGCTCCTGGCTTCCAGATTCCTTGGGACTGAAGGCTGCCTACCTCCTCCTTGGGAACCCATGGGCTCCTTGTAACCGACTTCCAGTCTCAGCCCTTAACCCCATGAGTCCAGAGGCCTGGCCATGGAACCAGCCCTCAATGTAGAACATCCTAAGTTATCGGGAGCAGATGGAAGAGCCACTGAGAAACCCCACACACACCCCCAAAGACAGACTTTACCATGGTGGTTCCAGTGTTGCCAGTAAGGACCCTTTCCCAGTACTGTCTCTGAATGTAGTCCTAACTCAGCACATCCCCAAAAGCTATCATGGAAGGCTCTTTTCAAACACCCAGGGCAGGAACGCAGATCTGGTCCCTCCAAAGACAGCCTTGATAGGGAAAACGAGGCTCCCCAAAGCAAGTTTCCATCCACCCTTAACCCAGGCCCACCAAGCTTTTAAAAATCCTTTTTAAATATAAGCAGCAAATCCTGGCAACCCATCTTGAGCCAGAGTCATTTCAAGTGCCCAATGCTGATTATCTCAGGCCATCAGAGGACTAGCAAGTGCAGCCCCACAGGCTAGTAGGCAAAATTCCAACCCAGGAAGGCAGGATGGGGGCAGGCACAGCGCACTTCAGGAGTTATTAGGAGGGCCAGGCAAAGGACAGTGCCCGAGGAACTAGGGGCCGGACTAAGTGTATGGATGCTTAGATGCTCGGGGACTTTTAGCCGTCAGGACAAGAGCAGAGCTTAGACCACAGGGAAGCTGAGTGCCTGGACTGCTAATATTTCCCAGCAGTGACCAAGTCTAACTTTCTTGAAATACACATTTTAAGAACCAATACCAAAGACCATCCTTTATTGTTTATGGTAATTGCATGGATATTAATTTCAGGAGTAAGTTTCCAGCTTGAAGAACTTGGACCCTTGCCTCATATAACAAATACTAAAATGTACATAAGTCCCTTTTGAGTGAGGGACAATACTAGAAAACTCATGAAT